ATTCCAGTGAAATATATTTATGTTTGTGGTTGTAATGTGACAAAATATGGAAAAGTTCAAGGGGTATGAATACTTTTGCAAACCACTGTAAGCTCCACCACTAGATGGTAGTCCTGCATGTAGACGAGGTCAGATGCGTTTGAGGCTCATGTTTGAAAGCAACATTCCAGAAAGAACAAGATGCTGAAGCATATGTCCTAAAATATGAATAAATTATTTGAGCCCTGTCAGTGCGAAGTGTCTCGTGAAGCAGATCTGTTCTACAGTTCCTCGTGATCTCAGAGCCTTTCCAACAGTTTGTTGAATGTTTGCTTTAAACTGGACTGCAGGCAGTTCAGCTCAGCAAACAGATTCTTCCTTTAGAGCCTGAAATAACTACAGTATTTGGAGTCAACCCTGTCTGTTAGCAAAACATCTCATGAACTATGAAACATTTGAAACCTTCAGGAAATAATGACGGGGCTGCAGATCTGTAACAGATAAGGGTTTGGAACCAACCTGAGTCAATAAGGCAGACATTGCCAGCTCACCTGAGAAAACCCCAAAACGGCTACATTTCTGTCAGTTTCACAGATACTGAGCTAAAATGTGGTGTGAGTGTAACAGAGTAATTCGGAACTTTATACTCCAAGTGTAACTTATTGCTCAACATCTATAATTAAAATGTTATCATTAAACTAAAGCATTGGGTTTAAGTTCAACATCTGTCAAACTGACTGAATTCTAGTCTTTAGTGTGTTTTTTAAACTCTGTTGCCTGTAACGGCCATCTTGAAGTTAGTCAGCTATGGTGGCACATCCATTACAATGGAGTATTAGGGCCACACTACAAGTTTGTTTTTTAAATTCTGAGATTGAGGTCATTATATTATGAGAATAAAATCAGAATATTATGAGAAAAAAATTGTTTCAGAATAAAGTCATGATATTCTGAGAAAATGATACAGTACAAACAAAAAGCAGTCTTAACTCTGCGTTATAATAAGGAATACTGAGAATCTCTTGAAGCTGCACTTTTGTATCAGTTTTGCAAATAAAGAAATACTTAATTTTTTTATCACATCAGCATCAAATTATCAGTAGCAGGACTTTGGAACGATTGAACAAATAGATTCATATGATAAACTGAAGCCGTATGACTTTAAGGTTAATGGCTGCATTGATTGATTTAGTCGTCACATAATGTGGAAAGAAGTACATTACATTCATACTGACTCAAAAGTGATCATTGACCACTTCATAAACACAGTAACATACAATAGAGGCTGTCCACTCCACAGCAGGTCTGAGTCGACTCAGGAACATAAATTGTACATGTGATGTAATATTAAGACTTCAATCTTGTTTGATTGATTGATTGATTGATTGATTGATTGATTGATTGATTGATTGATTGATTGATTCCAGACGTGTCAAATTCATTACATAAAGCATGGCAAGGTTAACACTAGTATGAATATGTATTTCTTTATATACCTACACATATCCACACATTTTTTGAACAATTAGAACCTCTAGTAAAATAAATTCATATTAGTAAATGAAACCATTTTAACTGAATGTACACAAAATAAATATACCTATAAATCAAATATACACCCAATGTATTCATACCTATCTGTGTATATGTACTTATCTACAGTACATGCACTCAAATGAAACATAAATAACACACAAATCCCTTAAACATGTCTGAAAAGGGTCAGGGTGGGCCTGAAACCTGTCCACGTTACCTTTGGGTGAAGGCAGGGGTCACCTGGACAGGTCTCCAGTTCACCAGAGACACCTGGACAGGTCTCCAGTTCACCAGAGACACCTGAACAGGTCTCCAGTTCACCAGAGACACCTGGACCTGGACAGGTATCCAGTTCACCAGAGACACCTGAACAGGTCTCCAGTCTCCATCAG